AACAAATTATTAGGCAATTCTAAAATTGATCAAAATACATACACACAATTCATTCCATCAGATATTTTTTTTGTTTAATAATATCTATTAACGGTTTACAATTAAATCCGATTTTTTCAAATTTAATAATATCAACTGCCAATTTTAAAATTAAATTAACCGTTTACAATTAAACCTGTGCACAGCACGGATGCTAACCTAGTTAGTTGTTATATCAATAAAATATTCCGTTATATTCCACATTTATTATCAGTAATTAAAAATTTGATTAACATGTCGATATTTTAATTGTTGTAAACTGCCTTTATTAGTGTCAAATGTTTGATCCGATACAAGTTAGTTGTATCAGTTTTATCCAACTGATAATTACATCATTTTTGGAAATTAGCATCGTTTATTATTGATATAAAATTTCTATCAATTTTTAAATGATTTTAACAAACAATTAGTGAATACATCGGTTACTGAATTGATGTCTATACAAATATTTGTGTCATTTCTTTACAAGTGATGAAAACCAATATAGATTTGTCTCAATTTTATTGAATCAATGTAAAACAAATAAAAAATTATATCAGTTATTATAATTGATGTTAAACCACAAAATTTGTATCATTTATCAACAAGTAATTTAAAAAAGTATTATTTAATTTTGTCATACTATTTATGTGATGCAATATACATTTTTTTGTAGTGTTGATTAAATCGATTTTGGTGTTAGTAGAGATCTCATATCTGGATTGGGTCCTTGTAGGTTGGAAGCGTCTTTTCAGTTGTGGTCTGTGGTTTCAACATCTCCGGTCGTGATTGATGAAGACTTTGGCAAGTTAGTTCCATATATGTCGGAGTGGTTGCCGTAATCTTTCGACAATGTTTGATTCTATCCTTATCATCTCCAATGCGATTTTCTGGTGAAGAGGCTTTCATGTTGAGTTGGTGGTATCGCTAATTTCTTCTGCTTTTGTGGATCAATCGTGGTTGGTATTAGCATCTTCTTACTGTTTCTTTGCCACTAAATTTGTTTGATCTTGGTTAGTGAAGTCCAATTTAGGCTTTGTTTTCTTGTCTTTGGGCTCAGTTTTCTCTTCCTTTTTAGAAATCTTGTTTCTTGTTGAGGATGGAGATTTGGGCTATGAGTTTCTATCCCTCATGTGTTTTATATATGTGCTTGTAATATGTGTAGT